AGTATACCTCTGATCCTGTTAAAGTAAAATGGTAAGGGTAGAAACGACTGGACAACTTGAGGAGTGTCTCTATCTAAAGGAATAAAGGCTTACACGAATCTGTTGAACAGTAGCAGTTTTAGGGACGCTGGCGGTTCTGCAGACTTGTGCACGAAGTGACGAATTACCGTCGAAAACTCGGAGTATTTCCGTGTCTTCTCGTTCTTTCATATCTTCACCCGATGATGACACATCATCCGCTTGAATTTTTGATGGTGAAGATACTGAAATGTTCACTTAAAGCACATGTTGTTGGGATATCAGCACACGGCAAACAAGCAGCCATTTGTCTACGGGGAACAGTCTAATCTAAGTTTCTAATGCTCTTGCAGGACTGATTTGTCAAGGTTGGTAGGATTGACGGCCCTAACTGGTATTGCGTCGAACGCTGATAAAACACCTTTTACACGGACATAATTGTATTCAAAATCAACTTAACCATGCATTCAAAAATTAACATAAAATGGGGGAAAGAGGTGCAACGAAAACAGAGAGAATTGCCTTGTAGCTTGGAAATTACTATCTGTTCCAAGCAACACTTGTACACCCCATTTCCTGGAGATCTGTAGGGCGTGGCTTCAATCATCACTTGAACATGGCGCAAGATGTGTTTCTCGTGAGTCTTCTCAGTTTTCAGGCAGCTTTACATACTTGCCTTGTAGCCTGGACAAAGAATTTCATATCAGACAGAATTTCTCATCGCCGGCTAGGCCATATATAGTACGCAGCCACGCCCTCGTCGTCTCCGGGCCATATGGACTGATGAGCATCCATGGCTTACTCTTCGAACCGTTAGTATGGGACTGCATTGGGCTGCGAGGGTATTGAGCCGTTGCCACCGTATTCGCCCTTCTGCAAGGATTCCTTCAGCTAAAGACTGATGGGCCTATGCAACGACGGGTTAACAGCCCGACATTCCACTCAGTGATGTAGACCAGAAGTTCCACATTTCAGGGCACAACGTTGCGATGGTGATTATGGAGGAGTCAGTTCCCCCCCCCCCCCACTTAGCAAAAGAGAGTAAAATTCGACATACTTCACCAACTTTGCAGCCGGCACAAAACTCTTTAACAGGATGTCGTATCGAACACTATCATGAAGTTGTGAATACATAACTAATTCTCCCTGGCTTCTAACTCAGTATCCCAAGCACACGAGCACTTGAAGTTATGAATTACTATCTGTGGCTGTGGCGTCCAAATAAGTAGCCTTAGCAGTCACAGTAGATGAGGCTAAACGCAGCAGGTGCTATTATTAGAGGAGGAAATGGCAAAAAACGAAGTGAACGTCAAACCTGCAAAAAAGCTTTTGTTCCACGCTACTGAGAAGCAATTTCGGACGAGTTTCCCGTAGCATCGTGCAATAACCGGCTACGGTAGATACGGTTGCACGTATGTGTACTCATATATTCATGAAGAACCGACCGCGGCCGCTTCATACCAAACCCTTCGCTTCATATTTTACTTAAATGCAGCAATACATGCATCAGCTTTGGTCGTCCATTCATGGGCGGGCGGGCGCAGTGGGTCGGGGTCGGTAAGTTGCAGCCTGATGGAGCCTTATAAGGGTACCTTCCTTGAAAAATGCTTATAAGCGCGGAATTCCGTCCTGCCAGGCGTAATAATGCTACTCGTCTTAGGGACATATCATGCCAACTGGCTTCAACAGATGCCGAACGACTTCCAAAGTAGACTGGAAACAAAGCAATTCTCGTGATTTTCGTACCCTCGATCGCGCACTGCATACACTGCACACAGAGGTGGAGGCATTAACGACAGATTTGTTTCTTAGGTGACGACCACGGAAAATTTGGGAAACTACCCTTCCCGAAGAGGTTGGTGGTAGTGCACCTCGAAATCTCAGGTTACAGGTTGGACGTCATAAAAGAAACTCCCCGATTAAGCGAGTTTCCGAGCGAAATATGTGGGGACAAAAACGTTGGAGGGGGCGGGGGCACACCAGGCTGGGCGTCTCATTGTGTCTTATCTTAACATCTTCCAGTCCTACTACGTCCTTCCAAAAGTCCTGGAAAGATTAGATAAACCTTTCTCCTACTGGCAGTGGAACTCCCGTTATACATTTGTTTATTTATGTATTCTGTAGACATGTCAAAGAATCCTACATATACCAGGGACCACTTAAACCTACTTAAAACTGTCTTTGCGAGAGAACCCAGACAAGCAGAGATGACGTGTCCGCGTCCTTCCCAACTACATTTTTCCCAGCGACAACTATGGTGAGGCATCAGGACTATCCCCTCCTATTCACATCAGTGAGTTTTTTACAAGGACGAATATGTAGGTTATTGACGTTGAACAGATTTCAAGAGGGGAACCGAGGCGAATCTAAACGTTGAAGGCAGTGGGCACGATGGCTGGGGCGGGCGGTTGTGGCCACTGTCATTGGTGGAAGGGCTGAGTGGGTTGTGGCCGAATGTCCTCTCGCAGCCCTTTCACCAATGACACTGGCAACAATCCGCTTCCAGCAATGGTGCCCAGTGTCTTTGAAGACCATTTCTGTTGTGGACACTTTCTAGCGTTCAATTTCTCGAAAATGCCTCCAATGCCTCTTTGTTTAGCAGAAAACACTTACAGTGGTGAGAGAAAAAAAAATGAAATTAGACTGGTGTACGGATGAACATAGTCGACCGACAAGTGTGAGGAGAGATCCGGTATAGGAAAGGAAAGGATAGTGCGATAGTCTGACCCTTACGCGACTGTGGGGGATCGTTAGATGTGATCGCCAATAGTTGCTCCATTGGTAGTTCCGTCCGTGGAATTGTCAGTGACGACGGAGGTAGCATTATCTTCCGTAACACACCAAAATCGCACTCCTTCGACATCTGACGATAGCAAACAGCATGAGCCTGGAACATAACCGTTAGAATACTTCGTTACACTATTCAGTTCAAAACGCTATTTCCAAGTCATAAGAAAAGGAGAAGAGAGAGCCCTACCGTCTGTCCGCCCCTCGCATCGCATAACCGGCCAGGCATTCCTAGCCGAACCAGCAACTTCGTGCACAGTTCACGCATTTACTCGTCGCTTATGGCAGATTCCCGTTCACGGCATGTGATGAAATTGTTGTTTCATGTGTTGCCAAATATTAGGTCGTTGCAAAAGAAATGCAGGATTTCGTTTTTTTGTATTTAATACTTATTTTATTCCAATAAAATGTAAGTGTTATATATCATTCGAAAGCTTATCTAATGCTCTTTCTAAATGATACTTCAAGATTGGTTGTAATTCTTTTTAGAGGCCACAAAATCGTTGAAGGCGTTTTTGGCATCGTCTTGGTTTTTGAAGCATTTCTCTTTAAGATAGTTGTCCAGATGCTTGAAAAAGTGGTAATCGGTGGGCGACAGGTCTGGTGAGTATGGTGGATGAGGCAGAGTTTCATAGCCCAATTCGTTTAACTTCTGGAGGGTCGAGCATTGTGCGAGCACACGTGTGGTCGGGCATTGTCGTGGAGAAGAATAGGTATTGACCAACCTTGGGCACATGCGTTGAAGCTTCTGATGCATTTCGTCGATTTGTTGACAGTACTTCTCTGCCGTAATTGTTTCACCAGGATTCAGGAAGCTGTGATGGATGAGACCGGCGGCAGACCACCAAACATGAGGTTCATCTTCAAGGCTGGTGTTGCCAGAACGAAACTTCTGGAA